GCTGAAGAGGTATAAAACAAGGATGCAGGGAGGGGAAGGTATGGGGAAGTCCGAGAAATAAGGTTAGGAAAAAATGGCTATGAAATTATACATGTTTATATGTTTGTATGTTTGTGTATTGTGTATTGTTTGTGTATACTTTGTGTTTAAAAAACTAATAAAATTAATTAAAAAAAAAAAAGAAGAAAGACTCCTGGAAAAGACCCTGATGTTGGGAAAGATGGAGGGCACAAGGAGAAGGGGACGACAGAGGACGAGATGGTTGGACAGTGTTCTTGAAGATACGGCATGAGTTTGACCAAACTGCAGGAGGCAGTGGAAGACAGGAGTGCCTGGCATGCTCTGGCCCACGGGGTCATGAAGAGTCGGACATGACTAAACAACTAAACAACAACAACAAAAAGGAATTTTTCCACTTGGCAAATTGGCACCAAGCCATTTGGTTTTCCCCTGCCTTCTAGCCACCATCACACTTAGGCATTGGTTAAGCCTTGTTCATGGGAGGTGAGGTTGCTGCCCCTCCTCATTAAAGTTACCCTGTTAAAGGGATCTGGGGTGTGGATCCTGTCCAAGCCTGGGTGTGGGCTAGGGCAATGCCATGACCCATCTGGGACCATGGGGGGGCCTCTTAATTGATGTACATCGTAGGGCTCCCCCTAACGGTGGGTTTACTGTTAAGAGCCTTTCCTGCAGATGTGCAGGAGTCAGGATATGGTCTGGTTTTACCCAGTGCCTAAGCCAAAACCGCTCAAAATCTGTAACCAATCAAAGTTGTAGCCTAATTTAATATCCAATTTACCCAAAATATTTGTGTCCGTGGGTTTATTATCTAAGGGAACTGCGGGCCCCAGGGCCTCACCACGCAACACTTGGAACAAACCCTTACAGAGGTCAATCACGCTTTACCTGGTTTATCACTGGCTTGTATTTCAATCCTGGCTTGTTCAGGATCATTTCCAGCTGCTTACGGGTGAAGTTGGACACTCCGATGGACCTCACCAAGCCGGCATCTTTGCACGCCTCCATTGCCTGGCAAAGAAAAAACGACATGTTTGTTGAGTGATGTTTGTTGAATAGCTGGGACCACACCTTTTTCCAGATTAAGACTGGAGGCTTATAGTTCACCAGCTCTCATAGCAGCCATTGTGTGAGTCATTGTTCTGGACATGCCTCCTCTGGTGGAAGGCTACTGTGCTCTGTCTCTGAATGACTCAAGGGATGGATTTGCTAACCCAGGCACCTACCTCCCATGTCTGACGAAGATCTACGTTGTCAAAAATTGTTTTTTTGTCTTCTCCTGTGGGAAGTAAATCTGGTCCAGGCTGGAAAAGAAGGAGGCAGAGGGAATAAGTGCAGGTCAGGCCTAGAGGTTCTCTTATCTCTGTAATACTATCTAATACTAATGGACAGTGATAAAAAAGGGAGTTCACCTTGCAGGGGCTGATAATACAGTGCAGGGATATGTGGGAAACTCAAATCACAAGCACAGGTCTCTCTCCCCATCTCTCCAACCCATTTTTTTTCTTCCCTTGCTCCCTCGCCAAGTCCTGCTCTGCAAACAATTTCTTTCTTATGATGCCTATTTGGTTAATGTAATCATGATATGCAGATGTTTTCTTTAACTGGCATGTTTCTCCCCCAGAATCTGGGAGCGATCATTCCTTGATTGAGATATGTTCTAGCAGAGAACTGTCAGCATCTCTAGGAAATGACAATTCCCAATGTTCCTTCAGGGAATAAAATATTTTTAGTAGGTTCTCCCCCCACACATTTAAATATTTAAATATTGTACTCAATACTTGTATTATGACATCAATAATTATTTACCTTCATAGAAAATGGATTGTGAATTATGAACAGATCCATGTAGTCAAACTGGAGTTTCTTCAGGGATTCTTCTAAGCATTTTCGAACCAGCTCAGGGCGGTGGAAGGTACTCCAGAGCTGTCAAAAATATGAAGATGTTTATATTTTCACACAGCCATAGAGTTTTTGGGTCTCGGGACAGTTTAGCTGTGGCAGATGACTATTCTTGTGTGCACAGTGTTAAGGACACACTCAAATATTGTTCTGAAGAGTATTTTGAATTGCTGTGGTGAAGTAGGTGAAGTAATTTAAAAAATAATTATTGCTAATATATTTTACTATTTATGTTATGTATTGAAGTTCTCACCCTGGCCGCCAGGATTATTGTGTATGTAGTTTTCACTCAGGTCCACGTCAGTTATTTTAGGCGGGAAACCCTGGGTTATTGTTGCTACAATGTTGACTGCCGGCTGCCTATAAAAGTAGGCCGGCTGAGCTGTTTGCTGTTCAGTTCTGTTCCAGCTTATAAATAAAGAGCTGCTTTGGAAGAATCGCTGTGTCGTCTGCTATGTCTACCCACAACTTAACAATTTATTTATTAAATTTCTATATTGCCCTTCATCAAAAGATCTCAGGGTGGTTCACAAGATAAAAGCACAAATAGTCAAAACAGAAGCAACAAAATTGTAATCCCTCCTCCCACAAACAGGTTTAAAAAGGGTGTAGAATATGAATCAGCCCAAGGCCTGGTTGAAGAGGAACATTTTCTCCTGGCGCCTAGAGGTGTATAATGAACCTCCCTGCAGAGAGCATTCCCCAAATGGGGAGCCATGCAGAAAAGGCCCTGTTCTCGTTTTGCCTCCCTCCGAGCCTCACATGGAGGAAGCATACAAAGCAGAGCCTCAGAGGATGAATGCAGAGTCTGGGTAGGTTTATATAGGGAGAGGCATTTTCCTCTGATTTTGTTAAATAATGTCTGTGAAATTGCATCATGATGCAGGCACTATAGTTTACTCATTTTTTAAAAAAAAAATTGCCAAACTCACTCACTTTTCCAGTGTAGAAAATGTCTTCCCTTTTTACTGTTCCATCTGAAATCTTCGCACGAACGGCCCGCCCAACTTGCTCCTCAGACTGGTATACATATGCGCCATCAATATGACGGAAGCCGAATTCTATTGCTGTCTTTGTAGCCTCCTCACACTTGAAAAGGGGAAAAATTTAGTCAATGTCTCTGCTTCAGTGGAGAAATTCATATAAAAGAGTACCTGTAAGTAACCTTGAGTGTTGGTGGACATTGTCAAACTAGATTGAGTCTCATGGACTCAGCTAGGCTGGGTCTAGACACATCAAATAAAAAGAAAGAAAAAGCATATAAAAAAAGTGATTTATATGTATTGTATTATGCGAAATAACATTGTGCCACCGAATGGCAAGCAGGATTCAAAATGAGCAATCAATTAACTTGTCAGTTATTTTGGTTCAAACAGTGGAACTCTGTTGAGACATGCAGTTTGTAGAACGCTCTTTTTTAAAAACTGGTTTAAATGTTTGTGAAATAGGAGAGATATCCAAGAAGGGATTGAGAAAGTCTCTTCGTCAGCAAGTATCTCTTTGTATAAAATAGATTCTACCCTCGCTTTATATGTGAGTCGAGAGACATAGGAATTGGAAAAATGGAAAAAGGAAAATTCCTTCAAAAACCGAGTGGTAGCTTTTATTTGGTAAATTCATGATGTTCCTGGAAATTAATTTAACAAGAATCAACACCAATCCCTTCATTTGCATTGCTGGTGATATGGAATGAAAGAAATGAAGATGGTTTGGATAAAGAATTGATTCTATATTTATTGTTAGTGTCCAGAATAGTTAGCTAATGCCTGGGGAGTTTGGATAATATTGTTACTACCAACAAAACTAATAGTGGGCACTTACAGTTCTATAGAAATATTTTTGAAAATATCACTAGAAATATTGCACTGGGGACTTTGAACCCTGCAGCAATTCACACTGGAAACTGTTTCTCAGCTACAAACCACTGATTAGTGCAGGCATCACCAAACGTTTTCAGCAGGGGGCCGGTCCACTGTCCCTCAGACCTTATGGGGGGCCGGACTATATTTTGTAGGGGGGAAAATCAAAGAATTCCTATGCCCCACAAATAACCTAGAGGTGCATTTTAAATAAAAGCACACATTCTACTCATGTAAAAACACCAGGCAGGCCCCACAAATAACCCAGAGTTGCATTTTAAATAAAAGGGCACATTCTACTGTCCACGGACTGGATTTAGAAGGCAATTGGGCTGGATCTGGCCCCCGGGCCTTAGTTTGTCTACCCATGGATTAGTGCATGGAATTTAATCTTCAGTTTTACCTTCAGACAGGTTATCTATATGTCAGGTGATTTGATTCTAACAGCTACAGTTGTACCTTGTTCCCAAACACCTTCAGAGTCAAAGCAGCGCTTTATGTTGTATTCTTGGCTGCTGTGACCCAAGAAGTTCTCATGCACAATTGGCTTCTCAGATCAGGTGAGGTATCACATGCGGTGCTTTGCAGTGTATGAAGCACCCTGCAGCTGGCAGGCATTTGGTTCCTCAAAAACAAGTTACTACAATCGTGAGAGTTAAATGTTTTACTTACAGCGTCTGGGGGATAGGTTCCAAATCCCAGTATGGGGATTTTGTTCCCATCATTCATTGTAATTCCACGGTCTTTGCTAAGTGCCATTTCCAGCTTCTGTCCTTGTTCAGTTCTTGGCTGCAGGCTGAAACTGATCAACACTCTAGTCTAGTGGCAAAAGAGTGAGAAAAATGAAGTTGGTGTTTCCAATGAAATGCCTTCTGTTGGCATGATAGGAGGGGAGTGCTTAAATAACCCGAAGAAGAGAGAGAGAAGGGCAGGGAACTTTTAATCAGTAACTTTCAGTAGATTGTCCGTAGGTACATCAGCAGCTTTCCTTGTTGACTTAGCAGCATTGCTTTCACAGGATAAATAACCTATGTCCAACTTTTAATCAGTAATTTTCAGCAGAATGTGCCTTGCTACACCAGCAATTTCATTGTGGACTAAGCAGCATTGCTTTCACAGGATAAAAAAATAGCTGTCTTCTTCACCTTCTTCTTCGTGTTCCAATAAAGCAATGCAGAGGCTTATTGCAATCTTCATTCAAGAAATCTCACCTCTTTGTTAGATCAGTAAATGTTAGACATACGAAAAGCAAGCCTAAAAGCAATGCAAACCTTTTCTTCAGGCTGTAGGATTGAAGTGAAAACACATATGCTCTTAAAAAAATAATAAATGAAATATGTGGAGGCATCTGTTAACCCAATGAAGCTGGGTGTTCTGAGTTCCAATGAACACACAAAGGATGTAAGGAAGGAAAGGAGCATACAAATAAGATCCCAAACTGCCTCTGGCTGTGTACACTTTGCCAGCACATGTAAAACACGTTTGATGTGCACAACATTGCCCAAAGAATCCTGGGAACTGAGATTTGTTAAAGATGCTGGGAATGGTAGCTTTGTGAGGGGTAAACTACAGTTCCCAGAATTCTTTTCGAGGGGTCATATGCTTTAAAAGTGCTCCAAATCATAGGATCATAGAAATGTGGACTTGGAAGGGACAGTGAGGATCATTTATTTCAACCCCTTGCAATGCAGGAATCTTTCGCCCAATGTGGGGCTCAAACCCAAAATGCTGAGATAAGAGTCTCATGCTGTACCAACTGAGCTGTCCCTCAGGGTGTGTTTGTTCACACAGGCATCTTCTGGTTTGGAGTAAACAGCATCAGAATGCAATGCACCATAAGAAATGTTAGGATGGATAAAGGATGTGGAACATGGCGCCGTGTGCACAGTGCTCAGCCTGAATGCAGATTAAAAGGAAGAGTGTCCACAGCCTCAGCCTTTACTGGAGGGTTCGGGTTGTGGAAAGCAGGGGCTGAGTGGGAGACAGCAAGTAGCAACAAATGATTTCAGCAAGGACATTTTGAATATTGTTACAGATTCCAGAGGATAGAAAGCATGCATATAACATGGTCAGAAGTCATTTCAGGTCAAGCTGGCAGACAACTGAAACCCTGTGCTCTTTACCCCTCACAGTCAGCAGAGGACTCAGAGCCAGCCATGGTCATTCCTGCCCATCCCTTCCTCAGAAGTGGAAGCAGCGACTTTGTAATTTAGAAGTTTCCCCTCATTTCCTGCTTCCCACAGACATCTGGTTGGCCACTGGGAGAACAGGATGCTGGACTAGATGGGCCACTGGCCTGATTCAGCAGGCTCTTCTTATTTTCTGAAGTTATTTCAAATCATCTTGGCAATAAATCTCAGGCTATGCAGCTGCTTCTTTTTATGAATGTTAATCCTCCCCCACTGCTTGTGCTATTTTCAATATACAAATCACCCCCCTTGAAACTGTTATTTGACACACTAGGGAGAACTAGGGATGGAGGAGGAGTTCAATTTTGTTCACATTTTAATGTGAAACTACACAGCTCACACTTCTTGAACCAATATGCAAATCAAAATGCAGTTATCCTGAGAAAGTGGCAATTCTCTGAATTTTGTGATGCAGTTGTTCAGCTACAGAACCATTACAAGAATGCATATACTGGGGTAAAGTATGCATTAAAGAGCAGATATCAGTGAAAACACCATGCAAACATGCTTTATTTTAGCCAAAAGTGCAAAGAAAAATGTGTATGGTAGGAGAAATCTGCAATGATGAATTTTCAAGACATTTTCTTTTCATCCCAAATTGATATGGCGATGTGAGGAACTGAAGAGTGGAAAATGAGATGCTGGGATGCTGGGAGGAACTGATATTGAGAGATTTGCCCAGTGTTTTCCATGAAAAAGGACCCAGGTTCAGAAGGAGATAAATTGGAGATGGGAGACGAGTCCTTATTCCACATCTGGTGGGTAATACTGTGGGTGACCAGCGTATCTGAAACAAAAGAAAATAGAGTCAACACTCAGGGTGGGGAAGATGCACAAGCAACAAAAATTGATCTGTTGCCAGCCATTGCCTCATGAGACCATTTCGCACAGTGCATTATAAGCTCCCCAAGTTTGCCATCAAATGCCCGCTCTGCTGAAAATCTGGGAGGCTGAAAGTCAAAATGGTCCACCATATTACAATCTAAAACTTGCAATATCGGGATGATCATATGTCCGTCTTCTCACTAGAGATATTAACCCCTAGATGATGAATACAGCCCTGGTTGCTGATCAAAGTGGTACCAAAGGGTTGGGTCAAAGGTCTCCCCCCTCTTCCCCAGTGTCTTTTTGAGACTTTCAGGTAGGGCCAGAAGGACAAATGCTGTTTTGGGAGTCCCTTACTGGCAGTAATGCATGAGGCAGCCATCTCTCCCCCATCAAATGCTCCTGGGAATGTCATCACATCATTGTATGGCATTGGTCTCAAGGGTATTTGGAAGCCTGGTTTCAAAGCACAGAGCAACTGTCGGGGGATGTCAGGGAACTGCCATCAGCTCAGAGGCGAGAGGTGGAAGGCCAGTTGCGTTATAGGGAACCTCCGAAAATCTTGCGAAGCAGTTTCTCCTCCGGCGAGGAGGAAACCCCAAGCTCCAGTGAAGAGGAGGTCTGCTAGTGGAAAAAGATCCTGAATTGCCATGGGGTAAATTATGGGGAGTTTAGAAGTCCACCACAAACATTACATTTTGTCAGAAACTGGACTTTTTCAAGACTGTCTAGGGCCAAAAACTACTGGGAGAGCTCGGTTGGTAAAGGATGGAACTCTTGATCTCTGGGCCATGGGTTTGAGCCGCGTGCTGGGCAAAAGATTACTGCATTGCAGGGGGCTGGACTAGATGACCCCCGTGGTCCCTTCCAACTCTACAATTCTATGACAGGGACACTTGTCCATATGCTTTGGTACAAAGTATCCACAGTAATTGCTTCTATAATTTCACCTAATTCTCTATGAAGAGAAGAGATGGATGTCAGATCTTTACTTCCTTTTCCTCTCGCACTATCAATTCTTGCGTGAAGCACTTTTATTTATTCATATGCATACTATTTAAATATGACTTACGCTTCCTCTTTTAAATAGCTCAGGTTTTTGTGAAGGCCATCAATGGATTTCATATCCTCCTCGGACAGCTGGAAAGTAAATGCCTGTCAGGAGGAGAAAAAATAATGCTGAGGTGCTTTTTAATCATGTCTTCTTTTTGCACCTCAGAGCTGTGCACCTTTTTCCAGCCACAGAGAAACCAAAGCGAACTTTGCTACCACCTTCCAAAGTTGAATTCCTTCATTTAACAGCTTCAATCCAGATGTCCTCCCATTGAGGGAATTTTATATGCATAGTTATGTAGGTTTGCAACAGTGGAAACTGTGGCCCCCCCAGATGTGGATGGACTCCAACTCCCCATCAGTCTCCGCCATTATGATGAATGGTCAGGGATGAGGGAAGTCATAGCCCAGTGAATGTAGTTCACTACTTCTTCATGCAGTTCATAGCTAAACTACTGAACTTGCCCCCATGGGAGGCAGTGACAGCCACCAACTTGGATGGCTTTAAACATTAGACAAATTCATGGTGGATAAGAATACCAATGGAAGCTAGTCATGATGGTTGCACTCTGACTTCACGGTCTGAGGCAGTGATTCTTCTGAATACCCGCTGCTGGAAACTCCTCCAACTTCTTGAGTCCCCAAACCAAGATGTGCATCTTCCCTCCCACAGGAGTCATGTGACCTGTGAGATCATAGTGTCCAAATGATGTGCTTTTTCAGTATTGTTTTTAATGGATTAATATGTACTGCTTTACCTGGATGTCTTCCTCAATTTGCTCTCTGGTGTCGGCCTTCACTAGGACCACTAGGCCGCGCTGCAGTTGGTAGCGAATAGCCACGAGAGCTGGGGTTTTGTTGTACTTCTTGGCGATTGCGACCAACAAAGAGTCTTCAAGCAGGGGAGGAGCTTCTGGATTTAACCTGTTGGAGAGCAACATGTGGAGAAGGTGTGTTTCTGGTGTCAAGATGCACAAATATACATGCACAAATATAGGATGAGGGGCACTTGGCTTGACAGCAGTATATATGAAAAAGATCTAGGGGTCTTTGGAGACCACAAGCTTAACATGAGTCACAGTGTGATGCAGCAGGAAGAGAAGCTAACGCTATTCTAGGCTGCTTCAGCAGAAGTATAGTGTTCCGATCGAGGGAATAGGGACGCGGGTGGCTCTGTGGGTTAAACCACAGAGCCTAGGACTTGCCGATCAGAAGGTCGGAGGTTCGAATCCCGCTGATGGGGTGAGCTCCTGTTGCTCTGTTCCTGTTCCTGCCAACCTAGCAGTTCAAAAGCACATCAAAGTGCAAGTAGATAAATAGGTACCGCTCCGGTGGGAAGGTAAACGGCGTTTCCGTGCGCTGCTCTGGTTCGCCAGAAGCGGCTTAGTCATGCTGGCCACATGACCCAGCAGCCGTACACCGGCTCTCTCGGCCAATAAAGCGAGATGAGTGCCGCAACCCCAGAGTCGGTCACACCTGGACTTAATGGTCAGGGGTCCCTTTACCCTTTTAATTATGCATTGGTCAGACTTCACCTGGAATACTGTGTCAAGTTCTGTACCCCACAGTTTAATAAGGATATTGACAAGTTTTTAGTACAGTGCTCTTCTCCCAATAAATCACAAACTCATACTTTGCATGTGCATCATTCTATAGCTGAAATGGTAGCATCCATGCACAAAAGAGATTTCTTTTTCTTTGCTGAATTAGAAACAGTATTTGGGGGGGGCACGACGGCGCAACGGCACTTTTTCCCCTGGTGCCGTTGGGCCCGCCCTCACTTAAATATAGTGCACCCACCTCACAGATCACCAATTCCATGAATTCCTACAAACTACCCCAGATTATCTTGTGGGGGTTTTCCCTTGTGTGAGGGGAAAATTAATAATTTGGAGTCTCAGGCAGGATTTTGTAAAACAAAGGAAGTTTATGACACAAGTGGGTGAAACATAGGATACTTCAGATTATAATTCTCTTTCACTTCAGTTCTTTCTCAGCTGTTGTACGGCTGTTGCCCCTTAATACTGTATTTTTTGCTCTATAAGACGCACCAGACCACAAGACGCACCTAGTTTTTGGAGGAGGAAAACAAGAAAAAAATTATTCTGAATCTCAGAAGCCAGAACAGCAAGAGGGATCGCTGCGCAGTGAAAGCAGCAATCCCTCGGGGGCCACTAGGGGCGCATTGGAAGATGGCCGACAACAACATCTCTCCGACCCACACGAGGTAATTAAGAGGTTGTGATGGGAGTATGCAGCCTCCCTGCCCCCCCAAGGAGATGGGGGGACTGCCCTTGCCTGCTGTGCCCGCATATATCACCCCCGAACTCGAGGGGGTGGGGGCACTAGGCAGAAAGCCCTTGTGTGGACTTCGGCTCTCCTGGACGCTGTCTCTGATTCGCGCCTCTAGCTGCAGCAACTTCAAAAGAAACAATTAGAAAGAAGCAAATGCACATATTTCAAGGAAGAATGGGGAGTAAAAGACTGCTAATTGAAGAGATCTCTGATAAAGAAGACGGGTCGGATAAACAGGAATATATCATGAGAAGACACACCAAGGCTCGGTATGTCGGCAACGGGACTGGATGAGGGGGGGGAACTTTCCATTCTTTCTTTATGTGATTAACCAATAATTCCCCCCCCCCAAATCAGAAATGCCATTTAAATGACCTAAGCTGGATGATTTAAGACTGTGTGGAGATAATTTTTAACCAAAAGCATGTTTTAAGGAGATCGTGGAAAGTACAAGAGCTTTGGGATGACGCAGTAAAAAACAGCGTCGCCATTTTGGCAAAACAGCGTCGCCATTTTGGCAAGTTCTGTCGAAAGACTTATGTCTGGGAGGAGAAATGCATTTGTTTTCATACAGTGGATGAACCCCCCCTCAGAGGACTGAAAGAAGGCGACAGATTTGCGAAGATTAATGATGGAAAGAGAGCTTTTATTTATGGAAGTGATGATACATGGAAACCATCTTGATAAGGTTACTGGATGAACGGAAAAATTCACACAGGATTACAATTTGTGTTTACCTGCTTAAGGAGATTATCAGAAGAGATCACAAAGAAAAAAGAAAAATTTATGAAAATAATAAGAGGAGATGTGGAAACAGCAAGATAGGACTGAGTAGAATTGTGAACACTATTTGGACAGATTTGTGGACATTAATGCAGGAGCAAGAAGATGATTGGAATCCCCTTCGGAACTTGAAATATGGGTACCCCCAGCAAATTAAAATTCGGCTTTGTAATTCGGAATTTATGTGATTTGATTTGATTTGATTGGTCGGTTAATTAAAATTATTATTATTATTTTTTTAAAAAGAAAGCAGTGATCCCTCTTGCTGTTCTAGCTTCTGGGATAGTTGCGCAGCCTGCATTCGCTCCATAAGATGCACACACATTTCCCCTTACTTTTTAGGAGGGAAAAAGTGAGTCGTATAGAGCAAAAATACGGTACTTTGGTTCTTTAAAAAGGTGGTACTTCCTGTCAGTTACACACCCCTTAGACAACCCTACTCCTGAGGTACTCTAAGTAACAGACCCAAGGGATCTCCATAGCCCTCTTAACTGGTTTGGGAGTCTTCTCTTTTTGTAGAAGAATCTCTCCCCTCCTGACTGGAACGAATCCAAAGTGGGCTGTCTTTTCCCAGCTTCTCCTTCTCCTGGCTCAGCTTCAGCCTCCCAGTTAATTCCCGGCCTGTTACTCTTACAGGACGCCACACACTGTCCTTCACACTAAGCTCAGAGACTCCTTTCTCTAGCTTGTGATATATTCCTCAGAGTAGATGTTTCCACCCAGAAGCAACTCTCTCTCCCTCCCTCCCTATTCTCCCAACCTACCAAACTGTCTCTCCAAATCCTCTCCTTTTCAACTCCCACTCCTGGAACCCCAGCCAAAAGAAAAAGAAAACACTTGGGGACCCAACCTGTCCAGCAGAACAAACTTTTCCGTCACAGGGGTACCTAAGGATGGAAAGAAAGCCCCAAAGAATCCTGTGTGCCTGCTGGAGAGTTGAGATGGAAAAGAGGGAGGGAGTTCAAATGAAATGGAGGATCCTGGAAGAATGCACAGCTCATTATCTTGAAGGAGAACTCAATATTTGTTGCTGGTCCCACTTGTTAAAAATAAGCATTGAAGTGGCTTCCAATATAGTTAAAAACAACACAATTCAAAATTCTGAGACACACAAAACAAGCTATGTAAAAAGAGAAATGCTATAATTATTTAAATGCAAGGCCGGGTGCAGGCCCCTTTCATTCCTGCCATTCTACTGCTTAAAGCACCATTAAAGATAATATATATATGATTTAAAACAGCACAAAATTTCAGAAGCAGAAATTATTAAATAGCCCCCTGCCTGTAACATTTAAAAACATATGTTTGGGAGAAGTCAATCAGCTATATATAAAAAAACACATCAGCAATGGGAAGGTTTCTGAGAATGTCTAAAATGGGAGGGGAAGAGCTTTGTAAATCTCTCTCTAGAATGAGTTCCCCCTATTGTGGGGCCACTACAGAAAAGGCCCTGGTGGTGGTATCCACAATGAGGATCTTTATTAACTGTGGGGCCAAGAGTACAACCTTCAGAGCTGATCTGGATGCTGTGGAATACTGGGCATAGATGGTGCCTGAGGTGGTCCCCAAACGGTTTGGCTTCATCTCTTACCATCTTGGGTCCCTTTGGGATCCCAGGACACTATATCCTTCCAGGAGGATATTGTTTGACTTGCAGAAGGCCAGCATCTTGCTTTGGTTCCGATAAGGATGGCATTCAACCTGCGGATTTAAAATACCCCAACACAACACAAAAGTGAGAATTCAGATGAAACAAAGAATACCGTGAAATAAAGGAAAGACAGAAAAGCAGAACCATGCTATTATTTCTTGAAATATCCAGCTGTTACCATTCTTAAAGTGTGTTGCATTTTCATTATTATTATTATTATTATTATTATTATTATTATTATTATTATTATTATTTTATACATTTCCCTTCATAAACAACAATAAACAACAAATACTAACCTAAATCACACAACATAATCTACCCTAAATTTCCATTACAATCTTTCAAAGAATTACAACATCTAATTAATGTCTCTATTATATACGCATGTTGACCTCCCTCCCTCCCGATTTCGGGCTTCTTAATAAGTCTTCCTTTTCTGCAGTTTCATAGATATAACTGAACACATGGTAAGATTTATGTAATACCCGCTGTGGTTTTAAATTTCTAAAACTTCCTTCAATGTATGTTATGAATTTACTCCAATCACTAATTAACTTTGTGCCTTTTTGGAATCTAATTTTTTTGTGTCATTTTTGCTAGTTCAACATATTCAAATAATTTTATTTGCCAATCTTTAATAGTTGGGATATCTGGGTTCTTCCATTTTTGTGCTATTAAAATCCTGGCTGCTACTGTCGCATATTGGAATAGTGTCTGATCTTCTTTTTTAATTTCGTCCCCAATTATTCCCAATAAGAAGGCTTCTGGCTTTTTTAGAGAAAGTGTATTTAAATATTTTTTTTAATGCATTATGAGTTCCCAATTTTTTTTATTTTTTCACAGGTCCACCACATATAGTAGAAGCTCCCTTCTTAGTCTTACATTTCCAGCAGATTTTATTTCCGGTTTTATACATTTTCTCTAGTTTCCACCGGTGTGATGTACCACCTATACACCATTTTTTCCATGTTTCTCTAAGTGTTAGTACAGGCCTGTGAATTTCATTCCTTTGTTCCATAATTTCACCCAATTATCATATTCTATGTTATGACCAAGGTCCATAGCCCATTTTACCATTACCTCTTTTATCTCTTCGTCTTTGGTGTCCCATTCTAACAAAAGTTGTACATTTTAGATAGGGGGTTTGGTTTTATTTTCTAATATTTCTATCTGGTATTTAGATTTTTTTCATTCATCCCTATCTTTTTATCTTCATTCCATAACACATTTATTTGGTGATATTGCAACCAGCCTGTAAGTCTATCTTTTAATTCTTCATATGGTCTTAATTTCCATCCATTTTCTGTTCTTATCAATAATCTTCATAGATCATTCTTTCCCCTTCCATATTTGCTTTTTTAGTTGTTAAAATGTCGATTGGTGATAACCACCAGGGTGTCTTCCTTTCCAAAAGTTTTTTATTTCTCTGCCAAACTTCATATACTGGACCTCTGATGATATGATTTGAGAATCCTTTGTGCACCTTTTCTTTATTGAGCCACAAATATGCGTGCCATCCAAATCGATTGTTGAAACCTTCTAAATCCAGCAAGTCGGTATCTTCTAGGTTAATCCACTCCCTGATCCAGCAAAGGCAAGAGGGCTTCGAAATATAATTTTAAATTTGGCACTGCAAATCCCCCTCTCTCCCTCCGATCCGTGAGTAATTTAAATTTAATTCTCGCCTTTTTCCTTGCCAAATAAATTTCGAAAGAGTATTTTGCCAATCTTTGAATATTGAGGAACCTTTGATCACGGGAATGTTTTGAAACAAGAACAGCATTTTTGGGAGTATGTTCATCTTAATTGCTGCCATTCTTCCCGACCACAAAAGTTTTACTCTGTTCCACGTATCTAATCCTTTTTGATCTCTTTCCAGGTTGTAATATAATTATCACCAATTAAATTTATATTTTCATAGTAATCCAGATTCCCAAATATTTTACCTTCTTCACTTCTTTAATTCCACTTTGTAACTCTAATTTTTCTCTTACATTTTCCCCCAGGTTTTTAGTCATCAATTTAGTCTTTATTTTGTTTAACTTAAACCTGGCAAGTTTGCCGAATTCCTCTAGTAGTTCCAGGGCTTTACTAGTGCTTTTTTGCGGTTCCTCTAATGTCAGCACCAGGTCATCTGCGTACGCTTTCAATTTATATTCCTTAACACCAACTTTGATTCCTCTTATTTCCGATGTTGTTCTTATTTTATTTGCAATTACTTCTAACACCATTATGAATAAAAGCGGAGATAGAGGGCATCCCTGTCTTGTTACTTTCTCAATTTTAAATGAGTCCGTTAGGTTATTGCTAATTATCAATTTAGCCGATTGATTCGAATAAATCACTTTTATACCTTCCATGAATGCGCCTTCTCCATACATTTTAATAAGAACTCCCACGATACATTATCAAATGCTTTTTCAGCATCAATGAAGATTAGCGCCGCTGGTATTTCATTCTTATATTCCAAGTACTCAATGATATTTATAATGTGCCTTACGTTGTCCTTAAGTTGCCTGTTTGGGAGGAATCCCACTTGATCTTTATGTATAAGATTTGCTAAGCATTTTTAAAGTCTATTTGCCAAAACCTCTGCAAAAATTTTGTAGTCGTTGTTTAATAATGATATAGGTCGGTAATTTTTAATGTTTAATCTGTTTGTGTCAGGTTTAGGTATCATCGTGATGTGTGCCTCTTTCCAGGTACTTTGTATCTTCCCTCCTCGTAAAATACTGTTCATGATCTCACATAACACTGGGGTCAGTTGGTCTTCTAAAACTTTATAATATTTGGCCGACAATCCATCCGGCCCTGGGGCCTTCCCTAATTTCATCTTCTTTATCTCCTCTTGAATTTCTTCTGTTCTTAGGGGTTATTTAGTTGAGTTCTTTCTTCCTCTGTTATGCATTTTCCTCCACAATCTTCTAAATATTTTTCTATTTTAATTATTTCCTCATGTTCTTTTTTATATAATGTTTCGTAAAATTTAAGGAAGTTTTTCTTTATTTCTTTCGGATCTTCTATTGTTTGCTCTTCTATTTTTATTTTATTAATCACGTTTTGTTTTTGCCTTCTTCTTAATTGCCATGCTAATAATTTTCCTGTTTTGTTAGCTGATTCAAAAACTTTTTGTTTCATTGATTTTATTCTCCATTCAACCTCTTGATTAATTAATATCAAATAATATTTTAATTACTTGTTTGTTTTTTTCATCTTTAGGATTTGTCGTTAATTTTTTCTCGCATTCTCTTAATTGAGTAAGAACATCCTCTTTCTTTTGTTCTCTCACTTTTCTCCTGAAGCTATTCTGTTGTATTAGGAAGCCTCTTAGGACCGCCTTGCTGGCATCCCAAACCACATCAATACTTGTTTCATTATTTAAATTCAAAATAAAATGCTCTTTTAAAGTGGCTTTGGCCTTATCGATAATCTCTTCATTTTCAAATAAGTATTTGTCAGGGCTGCCTCAGGTCCCAGCTCACAAGAGACCAACGTCAAGTCCAGTTTATATACAAAAAAGTTTATTGAAGTTCATTGTATGCTCCACAGCCGAGGCGCGCAGCCCCACGTCTGTTACGCTTAGACCGCTGAAGTCCCCTCTGAGTCAGTCCCTCCTCTGCACCAGTTTAAGAGGGCTGTGCTGCTCCACCTCTTCCTTTCCTTCCTTTTCCGCAGGGTCTTCCTGCCCCCTGGGGTTTCGCCCCTCCTGGATTCCCCTGACGCTGAATCCCCAGACAGCTCTTCCCCCCTCCTGCGTGCTTTGGGACCTGGCTCCTCCTCCGGGCTCCCTGTTCTTCCGCGCGCCTCCACATTTGAACTTGGCGCGCGTTCGCAACTGCTAACCTTCCTCTTGACAGTTACACTACTCCCTGCACTACTCCCCTCCCCTTCCGGGAGGATGTCTTGTTCCGATCTCCCCTCCCTCTCTGCTTTCGGACCTGCTTCTCCTGTCACTCTGGAATCTCCACCCCCTTCACTGCGCTCTGGCGGAGAAGCCAGTCCCGACTCCCAGCTCCCACTTTGGGTTCCCCCGCTGGTCCCCTGCTCCTGACGAGTCCCCCCTGTGACTCCCCTTGGCCTGACCACAGGCGCCCCCTTCTGGGAATCCTCCGATTCACTTGAAAGACTCACGGAATCCCTCAAGTCATCGTCATCCTCTTCCTCGCTGCCCTGGGATTCTTCCCCCTCGCTCTCTGTCTCCTCCCTCACCTGTGCCTCTGTCCCTGAACCCCTGACAGTATTCATTCATTCTCCATCTGAATATACCTTGTGATGCACTTTTTATTTCAAAAACTATCGAGTTATGATCAGAAAGAGTTCTAGGCTGGATTTCGCACTTTGATGTTCTTAGGGATAATTCTCTTGATACCCAGATTTGGTCAATTCTCCCCCAGCTCTCATGAGGTTCAGAATAAAATGTGAATTGTTTTTCCATTGGGTGTTTATGTCTCCAGATGTCTATTAAGTTTAAATTTTCTTCTAAATTGTTAAAGGATCTTGGTAATTTCCCTTGGTTAGGTTTTTTCTTTTTCATGAGTCTATCTACTTCTGGTATCAGCACTCCATTAAAATCTCCCAGTAATATCATTTTGTGGCTCTCTAAATCTATCAATCTTTGTTCTAACTTCTTAAAGAATTCTACTTTGTTTGTATTTGG